ATAAATATAAATATAAACATAAATATATATATATATATATACATATATATATATATATACATATATTTATATTTATATTTTTTATTTATGTATGTAGCTACTTCGGACATCTTGGGGCTTCAAAAAGAAAGGTGACCCTGGGGTTAAAAGGGCTTTAGGGTCCTTCCGGAGTTTTGCAAGGCTTGTTATGGGTTTCCACAGGATGAAAGGACTTAGTAAGTAGAGTTATACCTCGGCAAACTACAGCTGTAAGTATTGATTATGACCCCGATGAACGTACCCTTTATCTTACTTAAGCCCTACATACCAAGTCCCCTGATCCTCCAAGGAGGGTTCCAAAGAAGGTATTTCTGTACGGGATCACTATGTTAAGTTAGAACATGAGGGTTTAGAGTGTAGGAGGGTTGCTACAGGAGCTAGGGCTCAGGGCTTGGCTTGCACTTGATTGCAATGAAGGGCTTCAAAAAAGGTTCGCATTTTGATTGGCGAAAGGCCTTTGGGGTTCGCAGGCCTACATGTAGATGCCGCGATACTTGGAATATGGTGTCCTGGCCTGCTATAAGGAGATGTATTATTCGTTGTTCCGACCGGCCCGCCAGCGTTACAGGGGCATGACGGCATGACAGGTCAAGACAGACCAAGTCCTGTTTGGACAACGGTGAGCTTCATAAAGAGGCCTGTGTAAACTTGGACTAGGGTCGTGAACTCTACACCATGAATCTGCAATTAGGGTACGATAGGGTAAAGTATTGTTGTGTATTCACGCCTTTACATTCATCGCAACAGAAGTATTCCCGTCTATTTTGACTTTCTACTGAAGCGCCGGGTTTAAGGTCCAGGGATCAAGCTTGTACTTTCCTCCTCTCTGCTGAGAGCTGGGATTGGGTGGCTTAGGGTCTACCTGTAACCCTGAGCCCTACAACATCACAGGTTTGACCGCTTGATTACAGGGTAGCGGTTTATTTTGGTGAGCCCAGAGACCGCCGGGAGGACTTGAAAAGTAGACGCCCCGATGTCGGAACTACGTCCTGCCAAAGGGTACTTAATAGGAACCCCCCGCTCAGGAATCTACTCCCTAAGCCCTATAAACCCTGCAATACCCTACAATCGCTTGTAAGCCCTAAACCCTTATAGATCCCGTTCAGGAACAACCCCAATTACAGAATCGATGTTGCGGATCCTCCCTGCTGCGCTGGATCTTCGCTTGGTCGGGCTCCCTGAAAAAGCACTATGAGTTTAGGGTTTAGGGGAACCGATGGCCGTAGACCTTAAGTCCTAAAGCACCGCAGAAATTCAAGAATACCCCGACAATGATCGACCCTCATCCCCGAAAATGGCAGAAACCCGCCAAAACCAAGCTAGCCTTCAGAACACCGGATTCTGGTGATCCGTAGCTCCCTTCACCGCTCAGCCTCAGCGACTGAGAGGGTTCTCGGCCCCTTTTGGTGGCAAACACACTTGCGATCATGACCAACGTTGAGACGACTGGTCCTACGACTCATACTCTAGACCTTAAGCGTATGTGTTTAGGATTTCCTGTTCATGGCCTTGGATTTGAAGCTCCTGATTCTCGGTTTATGAAAGTCGGTCAAGCAGGTTTGTGAACAATTCTACCCGGTTGATAAAATAGAACATGGTTGCGCAAAACAAAGCAATGAGTCAGGATCAGTGGCCACTTCACTCTGGCGATAAAGCTTTGTAGAAGCAGGTCCACAAATACATAAGTGCATATGCACATATGTAAACGGCTTTGCTGAATAGCGTGGTCCGAAATCTGAAACTCCAACTGAAACCTCCTACAGAAGGCAGCATCTTCGAGCTCGTTTCCTGCCACTCCTACGATGCCAGAATAAGGTTTAGGATTTTGGTTACGGGTTTAGGGGATAAGGTTTAGGATTTTTGTTACGGGTTTAGGGAATAAGGTTTAGGATTTTGGTTATAGGGTGTAGGGGTTTAGGGTTCAGGGTATCGGGTTCAGGAAAGAGTTAGCAGCCATAACATGTCTTTTCACTGCACACGCGGAGCCGTGCAGTGCAGGACCCCGTGGACGTTAACCTGAAACTCCATGAAGGATTCTGAGCTGCCGACAAATTCTGCGATGACTCTGGAACTTTCTTGGATCCTCCAAAGTCTTTAGGGCTTATAGTGAACCCCAGAAAGTTGGAACATGGATTTGGGATGATTATTGCTGGGATTCCCTCTGCCCTACCTTTAGGACATGAGGATATTGATATTTCAACTTTTTGGCTTCTACTGTAGGAGCTTAAGGGTTTAACTTCGGGTTTAAGTTTCGCGCTCTGGGTTTGCCAGTTTGAAGGGACTTGTAGAGGCGGAAAAACGGGGCTCCTGGCTAACACGCTGTGGTTGCTAGAAATACGGCTGATGGACAAAATCCTGCATGAACTTATATACCTAAACTATGGGATTTATGGTACTATACTATAATTGGGTCATGCAGAATTTTGTCCATCAACAGTAGCATTACACTCCGCTCCGCATTAGTGCATCGTGCTACTTGTTGTTCTTATTCGGTTTAGGGTTTAGGGTTTAGGGTTTAGGGTTTAGGGTTTAGGGTTTAGGGCCTCATTTGCTGTACGCCTTCCTCTAAAAGTTGTGGTTGTTGCTAGCACTATCAGTGTTGTTGCCTGTTCGGCTGGGTATTGGTGCTGACACATTTCACGACGAAAACATCTAATTTGGGAAATAGATGCACTGTCTCGCTTGTGGCTGTTACAAAAACAAAAAATGCATAAATAAATAAATAAATCCTCCTAATTGGGATTCTTTCTGTGGATCCTAGGACCAGGCTTTCGCAACCAGGTTCCTACCATAGCAGGATGCACGTTCATCTGGCAGTGCCGCCAGTGTCACAGGCGTACTGCTTCAAGAAATGCTTGGGGGTACCGTTTCGCAACAGCGATAAACGAACCCGTGAAATTGCCTAGACGGTTTAATTAGGGTTTAGGGCCCCCCGCCCGCTCTAAACTTGCCTGAGCTGACCCAGAGTGAAGCTGTCTGAATGTGCTCACTGCTGAGATGGCTTGCACGCCGGAGGGCGGCCGCCTGAGGGCAGGAAGTCCCAGTGTTCAGAATGGTATATTTTAAGGCACAGTATAGCATAACATGCTATAGTATACTGTCGTAAGGAAGTCACCGTCTTCAAAACAGGCCCTGAGTAGCAGGGCTGGGTGCATGATGAAAAGATGCACTACGCAGTTTGCGAACTTATTACTCCGTCGACGGTTGGCGTGCGCATGGGCGCTAGGCACACTTCTTAGCTGCATTTAAAAAAAAGAGTGGCATCTCTCAGCACAGACTTGGCAGCCTTTCAAGCCTTTTGCCTTAATGACTAGAATAATGTTTTGGGGCCCAGTATACTGCAATTATATTGGGCCCCCCCCCCCAAAAAAAATAGTATAGGTCACTGTTAAGGCCCCTACATTAAAGCCTTCTTGCGGAACTAAAGGCCGATACTGAAATGTAGGCCTGTAGAGCCTGGCAGGAATCAAGAGCTAAGGTTTAGGCTTTACTTGGAGGATCATGGCACTTAGTAACTAGGGTTATAAGTAAGGTAACTATAATTATAACCCCAATTAGGTCCCATGATCCTCCAAGTAGTGTTTAGGGATTAGGGCCCTTTACGTTTTCTAAGTGCGTACAGGTGGAATTCCCTACCAGGAGGAGCCTATGGTTGGGGCCTCCGACGAAACCAGCGCGATCCAATTAAGCTAAGTGTGACTGAAACCCCGAAGTGAAACCCCTGAGGCCCCAACCAATCCCAAGTAATCGAGGGTTTAGAGTTTAGGGGGGACCCCATGCCTGAAACTGCAGGCACCGACCCCCCAAACTGCTCGTGTACTCGGCATTCTAATTATGACAAATCCCAGACCCACACCGACAATGCCAACTATCCTGCAGAGCAACAGCTGTCACAGCCTCAAAGCCTTTCAGCCCTACCTGAACCCTACAAAACCTACAATTCCAACGGCTTATATAAGGAAATCATAATAAGGAAGCCTGAAAAAGGAGGTGATTCAGACTGAAGGTAGGTCTGCCGTCAAACAACAACTACACCCTCCCGACTGGCCTCCGCCATGGACACGGCGATTGTCTTCGTGCCGCTGGAGTGAGGAAGCCTGGTCTTTCATCGAGACGAGCACTGCCGGGGGGTTTAGAGCATTAGGTTTAGGGTTTTAGGGTTACGCTTTTTGGTCTCGGGCTTAGGGAGCAATAAACACAGCAATGGAATTGACATGCCAACGACAAATTCGGAAAGTAAAGCCGTGTGCCATCAACCAGGACGACACATGCAGCAAAAGAACCCTTAGCGACGCGAATAGTCAGAACCACTGCAAAGGTCGATGACGAAAACACAGAAGGTTACACAGAAGAGGTTTCAGCTTCAGTCCTTCAGCATGCAAGGTTTTCGGGGATCCATGTAGAAGCCTGAATACTTACTCTTGCTATGCCTTGAAATTTCTATTTTCGCTTTCACGTACTATGTGGAATTATGGTTTAGCGCTTCCGAGCCGCATCTCGACATGCAGGAGCTCTTGTAGAGTAAACCTCTCCATGCAGGAAAAACACGAGGCATGGGAACCCTACATCCGAAATCCTAAACCCTGAAGAACGAAGCTAGCATTGCCTGATGGCCGCTTGACGATCTGGCCAAGGAGAGAGATAGGAGGGCTAAAGATCTCCGGGCGATCATCGTAGCCAAAGGTCCGTCCAGGACTATAGGGCTTAGGGTTGAACGAAGTTTAAGATACCCAAGACCCAAACTACCCCCAGCCTTATACTTTCTGGCAAGCAAGAAGCACGAAGAGGAGAATCACGGACTTCATCCGGCGGGCTGTGAGCGATGAAAGGTCCTGTAGCCAAAGTCGTAAGGTTAGCTCTGGGAGGGCGTTTAGGGTTTAGCGCCTTTGAGGTTTTGAGTTTAGAAAAGGTCCTGTGAAGTTTAGCGGTTTAGCGCCTTTGAGGTTTGGGGTTTATAAAGGTTCTTTGATGTTTAGGGTTTAGCGCCTTTGAGGCTTCGGGTTTGTGAAAGTCCTTTGCCGCTTAGGGTTTAGCGCCTTTGAGGTTTAGGGTTTGGGGCTTTTCAGGTTTAGAGCTAAACCTGCAAAACAGTAACTCTACCTCCTGGATCTAAACCATAAGCCGTAAACTAAACCTCCAGAAGCTGCGACTGAACTCCTTAAACTTGGTTTCGGGATTTGGAGATTCAGCAGACCTTGGTTTGGGTGGTTTCGGGCTGCGTTTGGGGGGTTCGTAGGAAGTATCGTGACGCAAGCCTCATGGTCATCTGCATCGACACCACTATCAACATCAGCATTGTCATCATCATAGAGCCTTTATCCTTTACATGGCTTGGGACTGATGCAGAAACCCCTCATCCATAACAACCTCAGGGCTCAACGACCCAACAAAAAAACGACCGAAGACGAAGGCCGGCACCCGAAGCCCTGAACCCGAAACTCGAGATCCCAACCCTCAACGCTGAACCCGAGATCCTAACCCAGAACCCCCAAACCCGACAAGTCTCGAAACTCCAAACCCTATAAATCCTAACCCCAAAAATCCCCAAAACCCGAAGAGTTGTAGACCCGGCAATCCCTAAACCCCAAACCCTAAATCAAAAACCACCAAACCCTCAAAACCCTAAACCCTAAACCCGACAATCCCAAAGCTCTGAACCCTGAGGCCAGTGCATTGGCGGTGTGGTTGGAGGAGACAAGCGCCGAACCGCTGCACTTCCTCGGCTGGGTTTAGGGTCTTGGGGCTTACCTTATAAGGTTTATGAGCTGTTTTTTTTATAGACCTGTGTATGTGGTTCTAGAAAGGGTGAAATAGGATTCGTACGGTTTTGCGGAATCTGGTTCAAAACCATAGGCTGTCTGGGGTTCAAAGTCGTCTGCCAGACCCAGACCCCAAACTAAACCCCAAAACCCTGAACCCCAAAAATCCGAAAGCCCTAAACCCTTAACCCTGAACCCTAAAGCCCCGAAAACCCCAAAATCCGAAAGCCCTAAACCCTGAACCCTAAAGCCCCGAAAACCCAAAGCCTGAGACCCTCAAACCCTAAAAACCTGAAGCCCAGGGCTCAGCCGGGTCTTCAGGCCGGACATCTTGAAGTTCGACAGCTTGAAGAAGACCTGCAGGCTCTTGAAACAATTTTTATGGTTTAGGGTTTAGGGTCTAATGGCACTACAGTCATATTAAAAATAAGCATAAAGTTATGGTAGCCATAGCATGCGTCATACTTATCGAAAAGTAACAACAATAATAATATTAATAACAATAAACGTAGTAAGAATCGAGAAGCTGTACAAACTGTTTACTTCCAGACCCATGCACCCAAAAACCCTTGAACCCCGACACTGTTAACAGCGGAAAATGAATCATACACGCAACTTGAACTCGGCATCCAAAAGAACTTAACCCATAGAACATCATGCAAACCTAAGAAAGCACTGTGATCCAACACCCCCAACATGTCTCTCTCACCCGAAATCTCTGCCGGCCACATGCCTGCCCTGACACGTAGAACCCTAAACAACCCAAGCACCACAAACCCAACACACTCCAAACCCCAAACACCTCAATCCCTAAACAGCACAAAACCCAGCCTAGCCCTAAACACCATAAGCTGTATACCCCATACCCCTAAACCCCTACTTCCTGAAAGATCCCTTATCTGGGTTAGCCTTTAAACCCTCTGAAAGCTATTTATATAAAGGGTCCCTTATAAACCCACATAGCGAAAATAAAAATGTCCCGAGAACCAACTTAGTTATTATAGTAGCCACATAGAGCCCCTGGTGACCCCTTTAAAAGGAACCCGTAATCCCCGATGTTGCCTGCTCCGACAGGTCGGAGTCACCCAAGGCTTTCAGTGGCCACTCCACCTCCAGAGGCTCAGATTTTGTGAGGTTTGGGGCTTAGGGTTTATATAGGTGGAGTTTCGGGTTTAGGCTTTGGGGTTTTGGGGTGTTCCGGGACGCAGGGCCTCCTGGCTTTTCGGGTTTGGGGCTTTAGAGGGGTTATAGGGGCCTTCAGAGGTTCAGTTTGTGTGGGCCTTGCGGAGGTTTGAGGACCCAGGGTCCTGGGGGTTGTCGGGTTTGAGGCTTAGGGTCTTAAGGGTTTAGGGCTCTAGGGGTTTGTGGTTTATGGGGTTTAGGGTTTTTAGGGTTTTGGTGGATTTAAGTTTTGAGGTCAGGGCCTGAATGATTAGAAGAGGGTTTTGGGCTCCTTTATAGAGCTTTATAGTGTAGTTACACTCAAGGAACCGTAAGGAACAATATGGGTAATTGTTTGGGCTTCTCCCTTGTTTCAAAGAGCGGTTTCGCGGATCTGGGGCATTTGGGTTAGGGATTTGGAGTCAACGGATTTGAGTTTGAGAAGTTTATGTATGATGAAGGCTCAGACGGGTTGGGGATCTGGTATGACAGGTCTGGGCGTAGCGTTCCGGGCTTCAAGCCTGGAGTTTTCGAGAAGCCTGGAGAGCTCTCAAGTCCAATTTCTGATACCCTGCCTCACGCTCGCGCTCGCGCCCGACATGAACCTCCACTTCCTTCTCTTTCTCTTGCTGCTTCTCCTGCTCCTTCTCCTGAAAGGGGAGGATGCAGGTTACTATCATGTGGTCTTACTGGCATCTTCGACGATGCGGTTGGGGATTCAGGGTTAGTCGGTGAAGTGTTGCGAAGTGAAGTGAAACTATTGGAGCAAACCAAGGAGCAAGACGTGGTGCGACGAGATTGACAAGAATCCCGTCAAAGTTCCTCAACAGCTACTTAGGTATTGAGCATATTCTCCGGGGCTCCAAAGCAGCCCAAAGTAGGTACTATTTATAGACTTTAGACCCCAAAGTAGGTACTACTTGTGTTCTTGGAGCCCCGGGGTTTTGCTGAATCCAAGGATGCAGAGGTTCTGCGCGACTACAAGGCGGTCAAGAAGAGCAGAACCTGCAAACCTCGCCATTGTCCCAGGATCATCCTAGACCCTAAACCCTAGACCCCAAACTCTAAATCCCCAGACCTTAGGTCCGAAGATGATGCGAGTTGAAGCAGACGGGAATGTCCAAACTCGCAGCGCTTAGACCCTAAATCCTGAACCAGTCCCTGTGACCTAGTGGTCTAAGTGACGCTACGAGACCGGAAGCCCTGAGAGCAAGGAAGCAGTGGCGGCCAGGGGTTAAAAACAAAAACAATGGCATGGACTCACACATTCCCCCATCAGGGCCATGGTCACCATCACCAGCACCATGGCCGTGAAAAGCATACGTAACTGTCATCATACTGGCATGCTTGCCATCATCGTCATTGTCAGCAGCAGTCACAATGTGACTACCGCTAACATCATGATGAACATTACCGTCCTGGTCATCACCAGCAACGTCATCATCATCACCAGAACCAACACGATCACGTTCGTCATGGTCATCATCATCACCATCATCATCGTCACCAATTTCAACATCACTCTGCAATTATGACGACTTGAAGAAGCGGCAAATCTTATCATCAAAAACCATCTTCTCGACGACAAATCCATCGGGCGTCCTCACCCAAATCTGTGCAAACAGGAACCCACGCTTCAACCCATCCCAACAATACTGCTCATAGCAAGCCCAGAACCCTGAAATTAATATCCACAACCGCTGCCCCCTACAAATCAAGATCCGAAAACCTGCCAAACGATGCAGCTTGACTGACTAATTTACACGGCTTTCTGGTACTGTGTCATGGTCCAGGGTAGGGAATCACCATAAACCGTAAACCCCTCAAAGCTAGCTAGGTCAACTGAAGCTGCTTGATTCGGCTTCATCCCGAAAATCCTGCTGTCGGGTGATCTCCGCACCCAGCTCACCGCCCTCGCCGCCACCGCCCCCAGCCGCGGCATCGATGAGCTTTGCACAAGCGTCCTGGGGCTCTCCACATCCGTGGTTTAGGACTTCACTAAACATATTATAGGGGAAAAAAATATTTTTCCCACTAAGCGTATTATAGGGAAAAATATTCTTTCCCCTATAATATGTTTAGTGGTCCTTTACAACTTTACAGGAAGCCCTTGGAGCTTGGATAGTTACCGCTTCTCGAGTTTGGGTTTTCAGTGATTGTCAGTGTCTTGAAAGTTATCAACTCTGAGTTTGGGTATTAAGTGTCTTGAACAGCTTTGCAAGGGGTTAGGATTGATGATGGCACATGAAGGTTCTTGCTAGGACATGCGGGGCATGATCCCTGCACTTCCAGTGCATATGATGTCCTCTGCAAGCCCCGAACCCCAAAGCCTGAGGCCCTAAACCCTGAACTCTAAACCCGTAAACCCTAAACCGCCGAACCGTAAAACCCTAACCCCAAAACCCTGAACCACAAATCCTAAACTCAAAACCCCCTGAGGCCTCCACCCGATCCGACGCCTGCCTTAAAATCCCAAGCCGGAGCCCCGAAGCCTAAGTTGTCCTTTAAGCCCTTTGAAAAGTATTTACTATTATGGTTCTCCGCAATATAGTAAGGGAAATTAACAAAGATCCCAAAAGACAACCCAGAAGCTCAAGACAACTACTGAAGATGAGGCTCTCGCTGTGCTGCGAATTGCCACAGATCTATGTTACTGTGGCTGTTGTCTATGGTTGAGTCTACATCTATATATATATATATA